AATTTATATCTTAGGTTTTTTTGAATGGATATTTGTTTTGGTATTTTTTTTTCTGAAACTTTTCTAGTATCTCAACATATCTGGCACATAATAGGTTCTTTTAAAAAAATTTTATTTGTTATTTTTAGTTATACATGATAGTAGAATCTATTTTGATATATTTACAAGAACACAGAATACGTTCTCCTTTTATAATTATAACTTCACTCTTTTTCTGTAATTTTAGTAGTAGATGGACACAATAACTTTATTTATTTTTATGTGGTGCTGAGGATTGAACCCAGTGCCCTACATGTGCAAGGCAAGCACTCCACTACTGAGCTATAACCCCAGCCCATTAACAGGTTCTTAATAATATGTGCAGAATCAATAATTAAAGGATTTGCTGTTAAGGAAAGGCCAATTAGTCTCTGTATTGCTTGACCATGTAAACATCAAGATGAACATAATTTGTAGGGGAAAAGATTTTAACAAGTTGGATCAAGCTTCAAGGTCAACTGAAAGGGGGACTAGTAATGCCAGCTAGTGCCAGAGAATAATCACAAATAGAATGGGTATTGGCTCAATAAATAATGATAATCAAGTATCTAGGTCAAGAAAAGTGGATAAAAGTATAGATAATAAGGTGGGTCTATCCTTTGCTGGTGTGAGAACAGATGCAAGGGATTGTCAGCTTCTTGAGAGCAGAACCCTCTATATATTTTTTACTCTTTGTGTCTCCAGTTGAAGTTTTTTTCTACCTAATATTAGCAAATTTCAATAAATGTTTGAATGAATAAATGAATTAATTATTTCCTGCTTCATAGAACTCTTGCAGGATACAGAAATAAAGTTCAGAAGCTGTTTGAAGAAGAAAGTCAGGATTTCACATCCCTTTTAGAAGCTCAAATAGCTATCAGAATTATAATTACTTAGGCAAATGGTCAGGGACTTTTTCAGGCCAAGGATAAGGGGTATTTACTGGGGTCTATACTCTTAGAAATTTAAAGGGTAAGTGCCCTTGACCTGACTATAAGTAACCCATGAAGGTCTTTCTCCAAGAACAATGGATTCATTAGCAACCAGGGCCTTCAGATCAGCAGGTACAAATCTTATTCCTAGGAACAGCAGGTAAATCCTCAAACTTTTGTTCATTTTTATAAGTTTAGTGTTCATGGTACAGGAAGGAGGGAAATGTGGGCAAGGCTGAAATTAATTTTGTGAAATAAAAATAATTTTGTATCCTAATGGTTTTAAAATTTATTTTCAAGACTTTTATACTCTCTCATTTTATTTAGTTAATTTGTAACAAGACTATAATTTTATAAATGTGTCATGGCTAATGTTCTGCCATTCCGCTGATGTCTACTGTGCTTATGATGCAAACGCTTTTGTGTAGCATAAAAAACCTGAGTGCTAGGCTGTCAAATTAATTACTTTTTCCAGAATCATCTCAAATCCTCTTCATATGCAATTAATGCTCCAACAGTACTAAATTTCCTTTTCTGGTCTTGAAAAATCTGCATATGACATTTTCCAGACCTGTCCATTTGCTCCAAACCTGAAAAATCAATGTCCATCACCAAATGTCTAAGAAGAGTTAGTTATTTCTTTCTCTGTGTTTCTGAACAAATTTTTATTTTTATTTTGGTACTGAAGATTGAATCCAGGGGTGCTTAACCATGCAGCTACATTCCAGCTCTTTTAATTTTTTTATTTTGAGACAGGGTCTTGCTAAGTTCCTATGGCTGGCCTCAAACTTGGGATCCTCTACCTCAGCCTCTTGACTCACTGGAGTCAAGAGTGTGCCACCATGCCTGGCCACATCTCTATTCTTAAAAATCACACAACCCATTGTTTATAACTCTTGCTTACTTTTAAACCTCATGTGTTAGACTTTCAACTCCAAAAATGGCAAGATTTGAGTCTTTATTGACTTCTCCTTAGTTCAACAAATGGTCATTGGTTGGACAGATGCATCCTGACACGTGTATTTATGGAAGAATTATCAGAATAATGTGCCAGCTATACTGGCTCCAAATAATTAACATTTAGTAAAGCAACTTGTAAAGAAATTATTAAATATCCCACAAGAAACTGGGTCCCCAAACAGTTTTTGTACATTTAGTTATGATGGACATTTACTCTGGCATGCCGGGAACTGGGAAGAATAAAATCTTTTATACCTGCAATTATGTCTATGTACTCTGCCATTAGAAATGATTTTTCTAGTCTAAAAGTCTATACTGAAAATGACATGTTTTTGGTGATTCTGTTAACATTTTAAAATGTTAACAATACTGTCAGCCCAAACTGAAAATGACTGTGTGAGAAATGAAAGCTTGCATAACTCTGACATGGCTCATTATCCTCCCGGTTTTTATTATGCAGTGAGGTAGTGGGGTCAGCCTCACAAAATTTAGAAACAATTAAGAAAATTACTATATGCAGATGTGACTTATGGACTGAGAATAACTAACTTTCTAAAAGATTGAATTAGACCAAATAAATAAGGATGATGAAAGATCCACAGATGTTTCATGGCTTAAGGCAGATTTTAAGTTATTCATTATAAAGACTCCTTCCAGGGTTTCACCCACTTCCCTTGACCCTTTCCTGAACACTTTGAAAGTTTCTCTTTGACTGCATTCCTCAGGGAGTTTAAGAAGTCCCAGGCATAGTTTCTGAAGTTCTTTGAGTTCATTTCTCAAACATATCTATGGGGATGAAAATATTGTCACTGACCCTAATACGTTTGTGAATTGCTGCTGGGTTCCAAACTTCACACTCTTCTTTCACAGTTTTCAAAATTTGTGGAATAAAAATGTGGAAATAGTCATGATGAGGTTAGAGATAATCCACTAACTTAACATTCCACACACATACAAAAATTTAAAAAAAAGAAAGAAAGAAAGAAAGAAAAGGGAAAAAAGATAACCAGACAGTAGTATCTATGTAAAAAAAAAAGTGTTTATAATTTAGATAATATTTTTCTACCAACTATCCATTTTCTTCTACAGCAATAGAAAATTTAAGATACGCATATAATAGTAAGTTTCCTTTCCTTCTTCCTTTGTCAATAAATATCTGTTAAGTGCCTGTAGCATGCTAGGTTTTGGATTGGGCTGAATCATACTGTCTCCACTTAATAGAATTTATATTCTAATTCAGAAGTAAGACACAGAGACAAATAATGGTGACAGAGTAGAGTAAGTGCCATCATGTACTTTCAAAGTACAGGGGATCCTTGTGGAAAGAGGCACGTCATTTTGATATAAACTACATCTTGGGGAACTAGATATATTGGTTGATCTTGATAAAATGAATTCCTAAGATATATGCAACCTAAGTCAACAAATATTCTTTGTTTAGAATCCACACAGAATCATTTTTCTTGTGTTCTTCATTTTACATAAGGACAGAAAGATGGTAAACAACTTAATGTAGCTTTCACTAGTGGTTTTTCTTGTCTGTTGTTTGTGATTCTCTTTCCAAAATAATGCCTGTTTGAAATTATAAATCAAAGCTTTGCTTATATGTTTTCTGTAAAGGGGAATGTTTCTTTTCTTAGATAAAATCCTGAGCTTCAGTTATCTATAAAGAGTAGATTAAACTGGACAGCAATTGTAAAATAGAATAGGCATAGACTTTAATCTTATGGAGACTCAAAGGTAATATCGAGAAATGGAAAGTTCTGATGATAATAGAACATCTAATTTTATCATTAACATATTTTTAAGAAATAAAAGTCTGAATTATTTTATATTTTATCAACAACATTCTGAAAGGAGTTTGTAGATTTTGCTTAGTCTTATATTTGGCATTTAGCATGTTGCCTTGAATATGGTAGTACCCAATCCACAAATGTAAAATTCTGAGGCCCCTCCTTGAAATTTTATTCTTTAAAGGCAAGACACTACGAGGTTGTCTTGTGTTTCTTTGTATTGTCAACTGTCATTGTTCTAAGAGGACTGCCTAAAAGCAGGGCCTAGACTACAGGTGAGCTCTCACCTCTGGAATACCAATAATTCTCTGACTTGGCATCTCTGACCATAGGTCATCCTTTATCAGAAGAAAATCTAGGCCCCTACAAAATATCTTCTTTTCCCAGGTACTATGAAAATCATTTCCATATGACGGGTTACTCTTTATTTTAAATAAGCTGTTTCATTCTAGCTTTGGAATCAGTTTGAGGTACTAAGCAGAAAGGTGCCTAATTTGAATATATGTATGTGTAATTATTTATGTCCCAAATACTAAATAATAATTGCTAAAAATAAAAAAATACTCTCATGGAACTCATAGATCTATCTTCCTATCTATCTATGAGTCCATTTATCTATAATATATTCCAATTCCATGGGTCACAGGATCCAGTGCTATATCCATTTTATCCATAAATTGATACAAAACATAAGAAACTAAGACTGAGCAAAGTTGAGTAACTTGATTAGGTAATGGAAGTAGTAAGTCACAGCGCTAAAATTCAAACTCAGTCTAACTCTAGATTCTGTCTTTAATCTTTATAACTGTTCTAAGTATCAAGGCCTTGGGGCAGAGAGAAAAGTATATTTCCTGCTTGAGTAATTTCGTCGTCTTTATATATTTAGAAAGATTTTTTTAAGCCTATCTATATGAAAAAGAATAGGCAGGAAAGAAATATTTTTATTTAGTTACCATGAGTCCATATGGTGTTAGGTACTTTTAATGTTAATTAAGGTACTTTAATGTTAATAAGGGTGTCGCTATTATTCTCTATCCAGCTAGTTAGAAAGCTAAGGCTCAGAGGTTTTAAATAACTTCCCCAAACCAATGGTGAGTAAGGGGTTAAGCCAAGGTCTAAAAGCAAGACGGAGTACTCGCTGTCACATTGGGTACATAAAATTACAGCTGATAAATGAAGATACTAACCTTATGTAACTGGAAGCACTTTCAGAAATATTACTAGAGTTTAAGGCTACTCAGAATCATAGGGGACAGATAGGAAAATTTTACTTCTTCTCATGGCCCTTGAATCCTACCTTGATAAATATTGTCCTGAAGTGAGATTCGTAGTTTTCACTTCCATGCAGTTCATCGTGCTGGGAAGGAGAGCAAGTTCTGGCTGGATCATGGTGGCGGTGGCTACTGCTCTGGCGACCAGTTCCATGGCATCTTGCACGTAGTGCTCAAACACCGACTGTGTAGTTTTTCCATGAGCAATGAGCCCTAAGGGTAGACCTTCTGTCCTCAGTTCCTCCACATTCTGGGAATCTCCCAGCACCCAATGAAGCTCAAGGGGTGTTACCCCGAACTGGGTGGTAATTTCAAATATCTGCCGGATACTCTCCATGTCGCAGCCAAACATCACCATGGTGGGGGTGCTGTTCTTAACGCTCTCGAGTTGGACCTGCAGGAAGCTCAAGAGGTCCTTGGTGGAGGAGAGGTTAGCGGTGATGTTGATGATAGACCCGAGGTGGAACTTGGAATTGTTCTGGGTGAGGAGGAGGAAGTCGGTGATGTTCCAGTCTTCCTGGCACAGCAACAAGCTAAAATTGTACCAGTTGTTCATGGTCAGGATTGAGACAGTGACATCAGCATCAGAACTTAATGAATTTTCTAAACTCAGTTGTAGGTGAAGGGGATTCTGTATTTAAAGATACGAAAAAGAAGAATTAGAAAGCATTGGCCAAAGACTGTAACACTGGGTACTTTCTGCTTTCCTATGAGGCTAAATTCTTTATTTTTTCCCTGTGGTATTCAGATACTTCTGTGATAAAATTCCCATACTTTTGGAAAATATGCTTTCTATCTGAGGGAGACATTGATTCCTAACACCTTATTTCCTGACAATTTTTTGATACGAACACCAGAGGACAGATGGTTCTTGGCCTAAATGCAAGAGGTGGCACACCAAGCATTTGGTCTTTGATTTTTATAAGGCTCATCATCCTTATAGGCAGTTCCCTTTATGCATCCTATTTCTTAGATTTCTGCTAATAAGTCATTTGTTAAGGTTTCAGGTGAAATAATTAAAGAAATTACTTTTACTTCCTTTAAAAATTAATAGAAAAACCTTTTCCTCTTCTTCTTCTTCTCACCCCCCCTTTTCCCAAAGATATCTTAATAAGTTCTTATATAAGGAAGTAGGGAAGATGAATGGACCATAGTTCCCTAAATTTCTAGACTCTTGAGTGAAGCACTTCTAATATATATGGAGTTATTAGCAATAGTGTTTCAAGATCAATATGTGTTTCAAGATCAAGTATGATGTTGAAGGCTTGATTATATTTCTGTATCTACTAAGCCTGGATTCTTGACGTGAAATATAAAATGTGTGCAATTAAACACATTGATGTAGCTTCCATCACAATTCCTTCTATTTATAGAACTCATCAATTCAATGGGGGAAGAGTATCTGGTTTGAAAAGTCACAAATTATTAATCATATGGATGAAGTATAAATGGTCTTCCAGTATTAATAAATATGTGAACTACTCTTCCCAAGAGCAGACATTTGACACATTTATCCTTTAACAATGGCAGTCTGAGAATGTTTATAACAATGCCTTGTACATATTGTAGAATAAATATTGGTGAAGTTGAACTAAGTATGTTTGAATTGGGAGTTATTGGAATATTTGTGAGACCTTACCAAACATTTGGGTCAATAATACATGTTCAACAAATGAAGAAGGTTTTCTCAGTTAAATTTTAAGCCCTTGTATAAAATGAAAGTGGCATGGACTCCCCTACCTGCCCCCCCCAAAAAAAAACAATGTGTAGCAAGAAACAGAGCTAGGGTTGTAGCTTAGGGTAGAGCACCTGCCTAGCACAGATGAGGTTCAATTCCTACACTGCAAAAAGAAAGAGGAAAAAAAGAAAAGAATTTGAGTTGAACTTTGAGCACTAAAAGATTTTGACTTGGGTATAATGAAGGAAGGGATGCTGAGGGTGTTTACAAGAGGAAAAGTATGATCACAGGCAGAAAATGAGAGCCCTCATGAGGGTAGATAGGATAGGGGTTTTAAGTATATTCTGAAAATTTGACTTTTGTCTCCACAAATTCAACTTTTTTTTTTTTTTTTTTTTTTTTTTTTACTTGGATTGAACTCAGGGGCTCTTTACCGTGGAGTTTCATTGCCAGTCTTATTTCTTTTGAGGAAAGTTCTAAGTTGCTGAAGCTGACCTTAATACTTGCTGTTCTCCTGCCTCAACCTCTTCAACTTCCCACTGAAGTCTCTGGGATTGCAGTCCTGTGCCATCACAGCAGCCTAAAATAAACTTTTGAGCAAGGCTCTTGATGGTAAAAGCAGTTTGGTGAGGGTGATCTAGGGGAGATTTAACAAGAAGGGAGAAGCAAGGCCTCCAGGATATCAACTAGGTGCTGAGTGGTTAAACTGGAAACTCCTGCTAGTAATGGCAGGGAGGGCAATGAGAAAGGTTTTTCGAATTGAAAAGGACTTAGTGACAAAATCAAATGTCAGAAGCAAAAGAGGGGATGATATCAATACTCAGGAGTCAGTATTCACCAGGTAGCTCCTGGTCTCCAGGCCAAGATGCCAGAGAAGATCTGGAGGTGAGAGGAATGGAAGTTTCACTTCCTCTTTCCTCCTTTTGATGCATATAACTTGCTCCAGAGAGTTCTTTCTGTTCTCTTTTAGCTTTCTCCTTTTCCCTCTTCCTTTTCTTTAATTCTCTTCCAACACAAGAGAACAATGGAAGGCAAGCTCCACATTTAGCTGGCAGGAACAAATTATTCCCAACTATTTTCTTGGCTTCAGCTCCCTAGTTTGTGGCCAGTTTTGTTTTATTTTCTAAAACACACATAAGACCATATCATTTTCTAGTACTGCAACCTCTGAATTACCCATAGGATAAATTTCACAATCAATAGTATGGCATAAGGGGTCATCCCTACCTCATTACTAGCTCTATTTCCAACATTGCATGTGTGCTGTAGAAGAGCAGAATATGCCACTCCAAAGCACGTCCCTTTAGTGTAAAGATTATTTTGAAAAAAAAAAAAAAACAAACCTGCAGACAAGAGGAGAAGCTCTGAGAGCAGAGCAAAAGTTAGCTTCTACATGGGGAAATTTACATCTATGAAGGAAACCTTCATTTATGAAAGTTCTCCTTTTCTGTAGCAGGAAGAGAAGGATGAGTCAATAGAGAAGGTAGCATAAATCTATATAGTGACGCTTACTCATATTTATTTTGCTTTTCTTGGATATTTTCCTATTTCCTGGCTATCTCCTTAGCCACCTTCTATCATCTCAGCTAAAGATGGTATTTAAACACAAAGCCATCTTTTAAAGATTTACTCACTTCCCTGGGTATCTCCCATGAGATACATGTGTTGTTAAATTTCTGTTGTTTTTTCTCTTGTTAACCTGACTTTTGTTATAGAGATTGTCCCAACTAAGAACAATGAAATATATAGAGAATAATTAATTTTCCACTCCTGCAATGCACACCGACTCAGATCATATGGGACAATTTGTTTCTCTTGAATGGGGGAAGCATTGTCATGCCCACACAAATTTGATTATACTATCTTTCTACCTAGAAATGGATTTGCCTATATTCTTATTCAACTTTCAAAACTCAGCTCTTCCCTGCAGATTTTCAGAAACTATTTTTGCATTGTGTTTACTACTGCTTCTGCTGAGCTTTTTATTTGCTTATATGCAGCTGAATTTCTCTGAAGAAGCCACAACTACACTCAAGACGTTGCAGACTAGCTTCAGCTGAGTAGCACATCATGGTTGTGGAGAGATGATATGTTCCGTGTTTAGAACTAACATTGTCTAGGGCTATCTTAAGCTCTTTAGAAAAATAGTCATTGACTTTTAACCTTTGTATCTGACCTAACAGCTTTGTGACTATTAGTGAACCTCTGGGGATGTGTTTTCAATTTATCTGATCTCTAGCCTCTGCCAACTCTACGGCTTAGAATTCTGTAAGATAATATCTGAAATCTATAGAAAAGAATTCCCTAATCTGTAGTAGCCTGTCTAACTAATGCCCCCACCAGTGTATTTACTGAATGGCTTTTGTGTGAGGAACAAGTTTTCATGGGAGCAACAATGGGACTGTAATACTTTTCTACAGAGAAAGTGAAATTAACTAATTATATTGAACAGTTAGTGCTACACAGAGAAAATAATGCATCTGGCATAAGAAAGCAGCATGAGATTGAATTAAAGACCCCTTCTCCCTCCCCTCAATGGATAATGATTAATCCGTGTAATCATGCTCTACCCACAAACAATTCTACTGAGAAATTCCAGATGTTGAAGTTAATCATTTTACAGACTTAAGGGACACAATTCTTCAAATAAATATTTATTAAGTAATAGTTTAGAAGCATCTAGTGATATATTATTTGCTTAGCGGCCTCAAATTCATTGTCTTCTATCTCTCCACATGAAATGATAAAGTCACACATGCACAAAGATATGAAAGCTTATAACACTGAAATTCAAACTTGAAAGTATAACTTTTGTCTAAATCTGGGACAAAAACTAAGAAAGTGCTATAGGGCCAAATTAAGAAAAATTGGAAAGAGAAAAATAATAGAAGGGTCTTGCCTTAAAGAATATGAAAACACATTAGAAAATGTAATTGTTGGGCTGGGGTTGTGGCTCAGCAGTAGAGCACTCACCTAGCACGTGCAAGGCCCTGGGTTCGATCCTCAGAATCACATAAAAATAAATAAAATGAAAGTGTTGTGTCCAACTACAACTAAAAAAATCAATATTTAAAAAAAAGAAATGTAATTGTTATACAGCAATAATAATTAAAACACTGAATTACTACCAAAAGGATTAACAGGGAAATAAATAGAACAAATGCTAATGCATGTAAAGAAGAACCTCAAATTAATATAGTACATTAATATATTATACATGAAGAATCATAAAGAAATATGAAGGAAATATGAGATTAAAAGTTGAGAAAATAGATTATTTATCAAAATAAAATTATTAATTACTAATTCTATCATGTATCAAAAACAAATAAGAGCTAAAGGTAAAACATCAAATCATTAATGAAACTCACCAGTCTGTATCATTAATATGCACCAATAAAAAAAGACCAAATATGTCTTAGACATAAAATATGTCTTAGAAATCACAATGGTAAAGAGCAATATACTAAAGTTAATCTAATGTTATTCTGGCATTAAACACCTATCATAAACCAAAAATAACACAAAAAATGAGAACATTAGTAGCAAGTTAGTAGACAAAGAGTTAGGTTTACAAAACATAAAGAAAATTTATTAGTCAAAAAGGTAATAAAATCTTTTACTAAATTCTCTTTCAACCCAGAAAAGTAATTTTAACCTCCCCTAAAGTAAGCCAGGCCCACTGTAAGATAGTTTTGATTGTCTATATAGTAATGACAATATATAAGTAAGTAGACAAATAAGCATTTCATATAATTATAAATAATAGAAATTACTATAAGTGAAACTAATAGGATAGGACAAGATGGAAAGGGGAAGAAAAACACCCAAGGAATAGTTTATTAGGGATGGGCAGATGTAGGTATTAGTGCTGTACAAGCACTGTCTAATTGGGACATTAAGAAAGAATTTGAAAACATTCATCACTATCTAGGTAAATACATACAATGATT